TAGGGCCCAGGCATCTTTTGCCCGGCCTTGGCTCCCGACCCACCCCCTCCCCCCGCAGGTAAGAGCAGCGTCAGCGTCAGCAAGCAACGGTCAGCGGCAGCCCCACCACCCCCACCTCCGCCTCACACACTCACTGGCCCCTTGCGCGATGGCACGCCGGCATGTTGGCATGGGAACGCCAAGCCCGGCACGGTAGCGGCGGCTGACTGAGTAATGGCACAGCCGACCGCCGCGGCAGGCCACTTTGCACTCCTGCCTGCAATGCATGCACCCTTACATGTGCAGCCTTCTGGTATTTTCATGTGCCTGGGAGATGTGCGGGCATGGGGGCCCATGTGCCCCATGCCATTTGAGTGCCCGGCGGCGGCGCTGCCTGCCGCCGGGAGCCCGCACCAGCATCGGCACCCGTCGGCCTGGCAGGCCTAAGCTGCTAAGGATCCCCACGTCCCCCACCACGTTGTGGGGGTTGCGTGTCCGGCAGGACGGGGAGCGGGGCCAGGGTGGGGTGACCCTGGGACGCTCAGCTGGGGGGAGGGTGGTCGGAGCCATGGAGAGGGTGCTCCATGGTCCACCCCCTCTCTTGATGCCCCTTGATCACGTGTGCCCCCTGCCCAAGGTCTGCTCACGCGGCCTATCATAGCGGGGTGACTGTAACACAGGGTAACACAGGGCCTGCCTGGCAAGAGCTGTGCACCGCTGACCTTCTTTTCCAACACCCCCAATGCCGACTTCCCCGGCCTAACACCCAACACCACGGTAAGCTGGTGCCAGTGCGCAAAGGCATCCTGAACTTGCACCATTCATGCAAGTGCATGCTCCCCGGCTGTGCTCCTGCCCCTAGCATCATGTTGTTGCATCATGGTTAGAGGATCTGCTGTTCCATAACATCGTGGGCACTTCTGGATGCAGTACAATGTGACGGTCACGGGCATTAGCAATGATGGCAAGCGGACGCCCGGTCTGAACCAGCTCCAGCTGACCACTCCGACTGATGTTAGCATCTGGCTCACAGAGGCTAAAGCAACGGGCCCAACCACCGGCACTACCACTGCTTCTTCACCATCTGGTGCCTTCACCAAGGTGCGCTGTGGTGGAGGCTTTGTTTGATGTGCGGGCAGCCTTGCAGGAAGTACTGCTGGTTGGGTGCAGTAGGGGTTAGTCGTGGCAGCTTCATTGCTCCCCTGCACCCTGGGCGGCACCAACTTGAGCGCATCTGGCCTCACGTCTCTCTGCTGTTGCTTGCATGCTGCAGTACATCTTCACTGTGAAGAAAGCAAGCTGCAAAGCCCCACCCTGTCCAGTCCTGTCTTTCCCAAGCAGGAGTCTCACCGCTCCGCTCACTGGGCTGGAGCCTGGGACCAAGGTGGGGAGCATGCTGCTGGTCGGGCTTAGGATGAAGATGGGCTGCTACACTTGCATATTTCTGACACCTGTTTGCACTGGTACCCTGGGCTGAACCGTGCTGCAGTACAATGTCACCGTGGAGGGCATCACCAAGACGGGAAAGCGGAAGCCAGGCTTAAACATGCTGCAGTTCACCACGCCAATTAGTGTTCACCTTGAATCGGCGGATGTCACAAGTGCCACCACCGGCACCACCACAGCCAGCAGCATTCCTGGCAATGCCTTCACTCAGGTAAGACAACTTACGCAGCGGAGCGAGCTGTTTGTGTTTGCAGAGCGTGCAGTCATTTCCAGTGTCTGTGCTGCTTGCAGTACGTGTTCACGCTGAAGAAAGTGGGATGCCCCACCTGCAAGCCCCTCACCTTCACGAGCCGCAACGTCACTGCCAAGCTGATTGGGCTTGAGCCTGGTGCCACGGTGAGGCCTGCCGCTTGCCTTCACCCTGCAGGAATGCATTAGTTGGCCTGCTTTGTTTTGGCTGTTCCACTTCCTCTTCAGTTAGTAGCAGCGTGGCGAGACATGGCTTCAAGAACCTTGCGGCCTCCAACGCATGCTGCCATTGCTTGCTGGTGCAGTACAACGTCACTGTGACGGGCATCACCACGACGGGGCAGCGAGTCTTGGGGGACAACTGGCTGCCGCTGAAGATGCCGGCTGGGTTGCTGCTCACCAAGGCCAAGGCAACTGGATACACCACTGGGGTTACCACAGCTCGGTCTCTGCCTGGCGACATCTTCACCAAGGTATGCAGCGGAGCCGCTGCCACGCATTCTGCTAATGTTATTCCGTGGCTTGACTGGGCCAGGCTGGCCCACATGCCATTGTTACTCTTGGCGTGTTGCTGCCTGGGACACCATCCACCATCCCCTTGCCACCACTTGGCGATGTGATGTGCCGGTTGTGACCGTCCGTGCTCAATCAGCCCCTTCTGTCCCATCGCCCTGCCTGCAGTATGTGTTCACCGTGGTGAAAGCAAACTGCACCGTCCCACCATGCGCGACGCTGACCTTCCCAAGCAGGACACCACTTGCCCAACTGACTGGGCTGGAACCTGGGACCAAGGTCTGCTTGCCCGCCTGGCAAAGGCTGTTTGATTGCATGAGATCAGCCAGAATATAGCTGCTCTCTGCTCCGCTCCCCCTTGACCCTGTCGTTTGTCCTTCACTCTGCCATGCAGTACAATGTCACTGTGGTGGGAGTCACGAAGACGGGGCAGCGGACCAAGGGCTCCAACATGATGCAGTTCACCACACCTGCACCTGCTGTGCGCCTGACAACCGCGTTGAGCGCGACGAGGGGCACTGCCAATGCCACTGCGCTGCCGAACGGCTACTTTGCCAAGGTGCACAGCATGCAAGGATTGCATTACAGGGGAACCAGGCTTGGCATGCGGATGAGTGGTCGTGTGACGCTGATGCACACAAACTGTCACTCAGTCCTGGTTTCACCAATTTTATTGTTCTCTGCCTGCAGTACATCTTTACGGTGAAGAAAGCCAACTGCCCAACCTGCCCAGTCTTGGTGTTCAACAGCACCACGACTACGGGCATCTTCCCAGGGCTGACCCCCGACACCCTGGTGAGCAGTCTGCTGGAGAGTGGTTGTGCAAATGTTGCAGCAACGCGCATGTGTTTCAAGGCACTAGTCTTGAATGTGCAGGACCGAATGCCCAATGAGCTCATTTCCAGTTAAGTTCAGCTACCCTCCAATACCCTCTTTCTGTTTCCCCTCTACGCAGTACAATGTCACAGTGGTGGGCGTGGACAAGAGCGGCCGGATAACCAAGGGCGGCAACATGCTGCAATTCAAGACGCCCAAGACCGATGCCTTGCGTGCTCCTCCGCCCAGGCGCTCGCCAAAGCCTCCCCCACCCAAGCGGCCACCTCCCCCGCCCTCACCCACAATCAAGCTGATCTTCGCCAATGCCACCAACTCTAGGAGGGGGCGTGCCATCGCTGAGCCGTCTCGAGCTGGCATCTTTGTGAAGGTGTGTCCATGCAGGCTGTTCGCCATGGTTTTTGGCCGCCCTTTCAGTCCAGCACGGCCCTCGGTCTCCTCTAGAGAGCTGCTCCGCGATGTTCTTTGTTGCGTCTGGCCTCACAACCCCCTCAACTCAGCGTCCTCGTCGTTGCCTCCACTCTGCAGTACATCTTCACTGTGAAGAGAGCCAACTGTCCCACCTGCCCGCCGCTGGTTTTCAACAGCAGCACCGTCAATGGTGACTTTCCAGGCCTAACAAAGGGCACCCTTGTGAGTGGGCTGGTGGACCGGGGTTCAGCACTTCAGCCGTGCCGTTGCTTTGTTTGCAGTGGCAGCCAGCTGTCGCTTTTTGGTTGTGCCACAGGGTCAACCAACCCCATCCCACATGTGCCCTTCACCAGTAACCTGTAAAATCTTCCCACCACTAACCCGGTCATGTTTTTTGCTGCAGTACAACGTCACCGTGGTCGGCGTGGACAAGAACGGACGCATCACCAAGGGTAGCAACATGCTGCAGTTCAGGACGCCCAATTTCGATTTTGTTACTACCGTGCCGCCTCCTCCTCCTTCTCCGTCCCCACCGGCGCCCTCCCCACCACCAAGCCCGCGACCTCCTCGACCACCACCACCAAGCCCAACCCCACCTGCACCCACCACGTGCGCAATCTTGCATTGGGCAGCATTGCTGGGAAGCCCTGTGATTGAAGCGTTGCCCAGCTGTTTGCTGAGTTTTGCGGGCGCTTGATTGAGTATTCTGCATTTCCTGCAACACCCAGCCTATGCTCCTTCCCTGCCTGCGCTGCTGCAGGGAGCCCTCCATCAACTCCACCGAGCCGGTCAACTCGACCAGTGGCATCGTGGACATCATCCCCCCCGGCAACCTGCAATGCGTGTCATTCAAGCTCCACCTGTGCCCCTGTGCAAGCTTGTCAGGGTCCTGTGTCCCTCCAGGCAGTCCAACCTGCATCACCCAGGCATGCCTCCCTGTGGGGACTCGTAGATGCCAGGTGGATGGCCTGTCGCCTGGCACCACCTACAGCGTGACTGTGATTTGCGTGCTTGCCAACGGCACCGAGGTTTCGTATCCTAGTGGGAGCAAGCTGACCACCCCGCCTGCGCTGAGCCTGACCTCCGCCAGCGCCACCAGCTTCAACAGCGGCACGGCCACGGCTGACCCAGACCCAAATAACGCATTTGTCAAGGTGGGGTTGGACCCCTCGCCACGCCAGAAGTGTGCAGTTGCAAGCAAACAACAACGGGCATGGCATAGCTCCTGCAGCCAAACTGTGAGTGCCACCTGATCCTGTTGCCTGTGCCCTGGTGCTCCCTTTGTTGCGGTGCAGTACACCTTCACGCTGGTGGAGGCGTCCTGCACGTCCAACTGCCAGCTGCTGAAGTTCAACAGCACCAGCGTTGTGGGCACCTTCACCGGGTTGAAACACAGCACCAAGGTGAGGCTGAGCACGTAAGGGGCTTGGGGCGCAGGGCACGGCAGGATCGGCAGGTCATGGCTCGTGTGCATTGGAACAACATCCTCACTGGGTTCTGTGTGTGCTCTGTCTACAGTACAATGTGACTGTTGTGGGCACTAGCAGCAATGGGACCATCACGCAAGGGAGCAACATGAAGGACTTCACCACTCCCTCGCCTCCCCCGCCTCCTGCCCCTGACACGTGCGCATGTGCAAGTTCGCAGTTGCTGCTTGCTCTGCTGCTGCCAGGATGAAACCTTGGTGTCTGGCATCTACCCGGGCCAGAGGGCACACCATGTCCAGCTGCTGGCTCTCACAATGGAATATGCCTTGCCCTGTGTGTCCCCTCTGATTGCAGCTCTGTCATCAACTCCACTGAGGCCGTGAATGGCACCAGCGGCATTGTGGACTTTGTCCCCCCTGGCAACCTGCAATGTGCATCGTTCGAGCTCCGGCTGTGCCCCTGTTCAAACGCCGGGGTCTGTCCCACTTCGGGCCCCACCTGCATCACTGGGGCATGCCCCACTCGCAGGTGCCAGGTGAATGGCCTGTCGCCCGGTGTCAAGTACAGCGTGACCGTGATCTGTGTTGGCGCTGATGGCAGCAAGACTGAGGCCCCTGGCACGGGCACACTGACCACTCCTCCCGAGCTGAGCCTGACCTCTGCCAGCGCCACCAGCTTCAATAGCGGCACCGCCACAGCGGATCCAGAGCCAGATGCCGCGTTTGTGCTGGTGCGTGCGTGAAGCTGGGTGGTTTCTACCCAACACACAGCTAACCAGCAGAGATTGATGTGGGGCCAGATGTCATGAATGGCTGCTTGTGCCCCGTCATTCACTGCTTCCTTCCTGGCGCAACCCTGCAGTACACGTTCACGCTGGTGGAGGCGTCCTGCACATCCAACTGCCAGCTGCTGAATTTTACCAGCAGCACCACTACGGGCATCTTCACTGGGTTGAAACACAGCACCAAGGTGAGGCAGACTAGCAGAGCACTTGGGGCGTAGGGCTGTGTGTCGATTCAGCAGGGCACGTCTTGTGTGCATTAGAAGCCTTCCAACATCCTCGCTGGCCACTGTGTGCGCTTGCTGTCTTGCAGTACAATGTGACGGTGAAAGGTACGGACAGCAATGGGACCACCACACAAGGGAGCAACATGAAGGACTTCACCACCCCCGCGCCTCCCCCGCCTCCCCCTCCACCTCCACCTGGGTGCGCATTTGTGTCCTTTCATTTGGCACCTGGATAGACACATCTTGCAGGTCACGGCACTGCTGCGTGTGCCGCTTCGTCCCCTTCATTGGCCGTTCATGTGGCTGTCTGCAGTCAACCCTTCGTGAACAGCTCGGAGTTTGCTAACGCCACCAGCGGCACCGTGGACATCATCCCAGGCACCAACCTGCAATGCCAGGGGTACAAGCTGCGGCTCTGCCCTGTCAGGCCTCCTACCAACGACTCCTGCATTACTGCCCCGTGCAACGGCACCAAGTGCGCGGTCACTGGCCTCAAGCCCGGCACCACCTACAACGTGACCGTGATTTGTGTTGACGCCAATGGTAATGAGATTCCATCAAGCAGCACAAGCACGCTCACCTCCTCCCCTGAAATCACTCTGGTCTCCGTCAACGCCACCAGCCCATACACTGGCAAAGCTCAAGCGGTCCCACAGCCAAACGACACCTTTGTGGAGGTGCGTCCCTGTGCGGCTGTGCTTGTTGCAGCCCTACAAAGCCAAGTGAAGCAACCTTGCTTAAGCCAGCTGGAGGAATATGCTGGTGGCCTTGATGTTTACAGTGTTTATCAAGGAACCACCATCCCTTTCCTTGCTGCTTGTGCCATTGACCTGTTGCAGTACATCTTCACGGTGGTGGATCTAAACTGCACCTCCAACTGCGCGCCGCGCATCTTCAACAGCAGCATACCCAGCGTCAACTTCACGGGCCTGACGCCCGGTACCACGGTGAGCGAGGCATGGTGGTGAATGAAATGGTGCAGCTGGCTGTGCCAGCAGGTTAAGTAACAAGTTCATTCAGCACTGCGTCGAACTGGATGTTCATCTATCTGGCATTAATGGAACTACACAGATTCCCTGCCTGGCAGTCACATTGCTCCTTGCCACTCACCTGCTGTGCGCAGTACAACGTAACGGTTGTGGGGAAGGACAGCAACGGTACCAGCACAGCAGGAAACAACACGCTGCAGTTCACCACCCCGGCAGCGCCGCCGCCTCCCGCGCCCTTCAGGTGTGCAGTCAGGCTCTCTCTGCGCCACCTGAATTGCGCTTGTATGGCATGGCCGCACATGCTGCTGGGGCAGGTGGCTTGCCTGCTGCACTGGCCCTTTCCCTGCCTCACCTGCGATTCATTTGTCATCCCTGCCCTCCCTGCCTGCCCCGCCGCAGCCTGCCCTCCATCAACTCCAGCGACCCCATCAACTCCACCACTGGTGTTGTGGACATCACCCCACCCTCCACCCTCAACTGCTCGTCCTACATCCTCCAGCTGTGCTCCAACGGCACCTGCTTCAACGCCACGTGCCCCGCCACCCACTGCACGGTGGTGAACCTGACGGCAGGCACCACCTACAACATCAGCGCCTGGTGTGTGGGCAGCGACGGCGGCGAGACGCCGACGGACAACACGGGCACGCTGACCACCCCTCCCACCCTGGAGCTGAAGACAGCCGATGCCACCAGCCCCTTCACGGGCAACGCGTCTGCCACCCCGTCTCCCAACAACAAGTTTGTGGAGGTGTGTGCGGAACTGTTTTTATGAGACGAGCTGTGCAGCAGGGGTACCTGCCTGGGCTTGGGCAGAGAGGCTGTGAGGGGCGCATGTGAGGCGTGCATGAGGCGTCCCCCACCACGTTGTGGGGGTTGCGTGTCCGGCAGGACGGGGAGCGGGGCCAGGGTGGGGTGACCCTGGGACGCTCAGCTGGGGGGAGGGTGGTCGGAGCCATGGAGAGGGTGCTCCATGGTCCACCCCCTCTCTTGATGCCCCTTGATCACGTGTGCCCCCTGCCCAAGGTCTGCTCACGCGGCCTATCATAGCGGGGTGACTGTAACACCTGGGCATGACTTCCCTGCGTTCCTATGCTGGTCGTATGCCCGTCATGCCATGCTACTTTTGTGGCTTGATTTCCCGCCTGCGTGCTCGCCTGCTACCTGCTTTTGTGCAGTACATCTTCACGGTGGTGGAGGCAGGGTGCACGTCCAGCTGCGTGCCGCGCGAGTTCAACAGCACCACCCCGAACGTGGACTTCACAGGCCTGCTTCCGGGCACCACGGTGAGGGGGCGGTTGGGGCGGGGGAAGCAGGTGCAGGATGGAGGCGCGCAGCTATGGCGGCAGCGGAGTTGTGTGGGCTGCATTTGGGAGACGGCTGTCTCCCTGTTGTGTGGCCAACCATCCCTTCGGCACTCACCCAGCCCATCAGCGCACACCGTGACTGCCCACCGCCTTTGCCCCCCAAGGTGGTCAGCCTCTCTGTCTCCTCACTGACTGGCTGCCTGCGCTTTGGCGTTTGATTGTGCGCAGTACAACGTGACGGTGATTGGCAGGGATGACCAGGGGAAGAACACCACGGGCAGCAACATGCTGCAGTTCACCACCCCGGCAGCGCCGCCGCCTCCCGCGCCCTTCAGGTGTGCAGTCAGGCTCTCTCTGCGCCACCTGAATTGCGCTTGTATGGCATGGCCGCACATGCTGCTGGGCAGGTGGCCTGGTGCAAGCTGGTGGCTCACCCGCGTCAATGGGCCATGGGCTGACTGATCGCTCGCCTTTTGCCATGCCTTCCCCCTGCCACTCCTGCTGCAGCCTGCCCTTCATCAACTCCAGCACCTCCAGCAACTCCACCAGCGGCGTGGTGGACATCACCCCGCCCACCACACAGCTCAACTGCACGGAGTACAAGGTGCAGCTGTGCACCAACGGCGCCTGCTTCAACACCACGTGCCCAAGCCGGTGCCCTGTGGACGGCCTGACGCCTGGCACCACCTACAATGTGACCGCGGTGTGCTTGGATTCCATTATGGGCGAGGTGCCGGCATCCAACACGGGCACGCTGACCACTCCTCCCACGCTTGCGCTGGCATCGGCCAATGCCACCAGCCCATACACGGGCAGCGCCAATGCCACCCCATCTGGAAACAATCCATTTGTGTCGGTGCGTTGTGCTGCGCTGTGCTGAGCTGTGCAGTGTCGGTGTTGGGTGCAGGCTCCATTTAGAGGCGGCATGCTATGAGCCAGCCGACTCCCAGTGCTGCCCCTGATTGCTGGCTCATTTTCGTGCTTGTGTTGCTTGCCTTGCTGCCCCTGGTGCAGTACAACTTCACGGTGGTGGAGGCAGGGTGCACGGTCAACTGCACGGTGCTGGTGTTCACCAGCAGCACCCCCGAGGTCAACCTCACAGGGTTGCAGCCCGGCACCACGGTGAGCAGTGGACGAGTTGGGGTGGGTGCTGGGCGAGGCATTGCTTGTTGTCGATGCTGCATCTGATTGCTGGGGTGTTTGCTGGCCAGCCAGCCGCATCAAGAGCTCAGCAGGCGGTGTTCAGGTATGCCTATGGCAGCGCACGCGCCTGCCCAGTGACCACCCCTTCTTGTGTCCGTGTGTGTGTGTGTGCAGTATAACGTGACGGTTGTGGGCGTGGATCCGAATGGCACCGTGACTCCCGGGAGCAACGTGGGGCAGTTCACCACTCCTGCCACCTTGGAGCTGACGTCCGCTAATGCCACCAGCCCCTGGACGGGCGTCTCCTCTGCCAAGCCGTCTGACAATAATCCGTTTGTGTCGGTGCGTGCATGGATGGGGAGTGGGTGCATGGCTGTGCAGATGGCCGCCACCAGATACAGCAGGCATGGGTGGGTCGCAAGAGTTTGGCTACGAGTGCCTTTGCTGCAATCATAGATGTCCACTTCTCACCTGCTGCCTGCCTGCGTGCTGGGCCTCGCTGCCCCTGGTGCAGTACAACTTCACGGTGGTGGAGGCAGGGTGCACGGTCAACTGCACGGTGCTGGTGTTCACCAGCAGCACCCCCGATGTCAACCTCACCGACCTGCTGCCCGGCACCCTGGTGAGCAGTGGCACCCGCGGATGGTGCTGGCTGTAGGCGGCGGTTGCAGGGCGACAGGCATGTGGTGCAGGCAGCAGCCCAGCGACAGCATGACGACTGCATTCAAGAGCTCGCTTCCTGCACGTTTGCTGAGCGGCTGGCCTATTTGCTGAGCGGCGCACACTCACGAGCCCTGCCTGCTGCTCACCAGCCCTGCCTGTGCTTTCCCTTTGTCTGCTTCAGTACAATGTGACGGTTGTGGGCGTGGATGCGAATGGCACCGTGACTCCAGGGAGCAACGTGCTCCAGTTCACCACTCCTCCTCTGCTGGTTGTTCTTACTACTGCCAATGCCACCAGCACAACTGATGGCAATGCCTCGGCCTCAACTCCAGCAGGCGGGAACTTCACGCAGGTGCGCTGCACAAAACAAGTGTCTAGCACAACACTGCCATGAAGAGAATCTGGATCTTACCGAGTTTGGTGCCATCGCTGCCGTTTTGCAGTTTACCTTCATTGCTCGGCCCTTGTCTACCGCCGGACCCAACGTGACTGTCACAACCAACACTACCGAGGTCGATTTCCGGGGGCTTCTTCCAGGAACAGAGGTGAGATCTTCCCCATTGTTTAGCACGCTTGTCAGGCAAAGCTAAAGTGTGATGGTGAAAAACTGGTAAACTGCAACTTCTCTTTTCCTGGTGCAGTACGAAGTCACGGTGTGGGGGCTGAAGGATTACGGCGCCGTCATCCAAGGCAACAACACCTTGCGGTTCACAACGCCGGCATAGTGAGCAGCTGTTCGACTGTATGCCATTTCTAAGTGTATGTTGCATTTGGGTTCTGGGATCGGCCCATCACACAACATGGATAACTGAATGACGATATGTATGTCATGCTGCAGCTCGCCTCCACCGCCTTCGCCACCTCCACCCAGCCCGCCCCCGCCCAGCCCCCCACCCCCTTCTCCACCTCCTCCCTCTCCACCACCACCCAGCCCACCACCACCCTCGCCCCCTCCTCCCTCACCACCTCCTCCAAGCCCACCACCACCTAGCCCACCACCGCCTCCC